CGAAACCCAACCCAACCGTTTCCTGCCCCTGGAGGCAGGGATTCCCTCTCCCGTCCCGGGGACAGCAGCCCGGAGCCTCTGGCCCGAGCGGGGATCCCCTCGGCCGCCGGGCGGGGATCCCGGAACTGGCCTCGAGTGCGCGTGGGGCCGCGGCGGGGAGGGGCGACGCGGGGGATTTCCGCCGCCAAGCGGGGGCCGGCGGCAGCCGCGACTCCGAGCGCCCGCGGCCGGCCGGGAACCCAAGCTGCCTCCGCCCCGCCACATTCGCTGCCCCCTAGCGCGCCGCGGTCGACCGGGCCGCCCCCGAGCTCCGCTCGTCTCCTAGTGGAGCTCTGGCGACTTAGAAACGTGGGCCTGCGCCACCCTTCACTTTCAAATCGCCCCGCCAGAAGCCCCAGGCTAGAAAAAGGAGGAACAAAAGGGCGTTGGGGAGGGAAAGAACTGAAGGAAGCAGGGGTCCTGGGGAGGGGCTTCCCACACACCCCACGCCCAACCCGGCCCTTACTCATAGCGGCGGAAGATCTCGTTGGTGACTTTACAGTAGAAAACTTCCTCGTCGGGCCGCAGGTCCGGGGGCGGCTTCTGTCTTACAAACGGCTTTCGATGTAGCAACGGCATCTCCAGTCCGCCAGCGGGCTCGCCCGGACCCTCGGCCGCCGGCGTCGGCCCCGCTTCCCTATCAAAATTGGAGGGAAAGGGAAGCCGGTAAGCAGGGGAGCGCTCGGCGGCGGCGTGGGCTGATCTGAGAGCCGGGGTAAGGTCGGCTCCCTTTTGTGTGACTGACGCGCCGCGGCTGCCAACGGAGCCGACTTCGTTCCTGTCGCTGCCAGGGTACTGAGCGAGGGGAACCGCTGCCGCCGCCTCTGTCCTCCGAGCGTGACCCACCGCCGCACTCCCGGCAGACTCTGTCTCACAGTGGGGCTGGACACCCCAAGGCCGGCGAGCCAGCGGTGCGGGAGCGGCGGGGCCCCCTCCCCCAGCGCCGGCTCCCAGCCCGCCGCCGCGGGGCTCACAACGTGCTCGGCTTTCAGCTGGCTTGCCCGACGCCGCACGCCACGGGCGGACCCCGGCCCCACACCGCTTTGTTCCCCCGCCCGCCTGCGCGTCCCTGCCGGCGCCGGCCGGCTCCCGAGTGACCGCAGGGAGCCCCTCACCTGCTAGCACGCCGACTGCCACTTCTCCACCTTCCAACTACAAAGGGAGCTTAGGGAGGCTCTGTCCTCCTGGGGGGTGCTTCTCGCCGCCCTCGCTGCGCCCGCGACCACCGCTCCTCCAGCTGCCACTGTCCGGCTCCGCGAGGGGGAATCGCGTCCCACCGCCACTTCCCCGCCTCTCGGAGCTCCTGGGAAGTTTCTGATCTACTTTCGGCTCAGAAGGAGGAAGAGCTGTTGGGAGGAGCTTTTCGCGTCTTGCTTCTACCTTTTTATTGGCTACTCGATGACTTTTACAGCCTGTCACTGATACAGGAAGAGACGGCGCAGAGCCTGGGAGAGCTACATTATTAATTAATGGAGCAACCCCTTGTGAAGAATCAGAAGCATCCTCCATGTTTGAGATTATCAGCCAAAAGATCTAGGAAAAGCACTGGGCTTTCGTAAACAGTAGCTAGCAAAGGAGAGCCCTCATCTTCAAGTGTAGCACCAACGCTTGACTACACGATGGGAAAAGATTCAAATTACGATTTAACTTGTATTTTAAAGATGGGAAGAATAAGAACACATGACACTTTTTTCAGAATTGAAATTCGTACATGTACAAAATATTTTGCTTGTGTAAACATATATCTTGAAAATGCCTTTCTTAGCAGCAATTCTCTTTAAAACTTAGGACAATTAAAACTTAAATAGCAGAGGAAACGACCAAAAAAGATAGGTTAGAGAACGGCATCTTGCCTAAAGGACTCCCGCATATTAAAAAAAAAAACCTCTAAAAAGTAAATTACACCGCTGAAAATATTTTGCAAAAGATCAATATTCTTTGTACAATAATCTAACTCAATTACTCAGAATTTTAAAGATTATTAATTTGCTAATGAAATTTCCCCTAAAGCAGCTTTCCCATATCAATAATTTTCACTTGTGAAACCTATTTTAAAGCACATAACACATGTGACTTTTGAACAAAAAGAATTTTTGAAACTAGAAGTAACTCAATATTCACCAGTTTCAAAGTATTTTTGGCTACTGCCCTTCATATTTGCATATTTGCAAATTAATATGTCAGAATAAGTCTAAAAAATAGTTTGAAGAAGTCACTCTATAAAAGACATTTCTTCTAATGATCAATACTGTGAAATTATGATAATTCAGAAAGATCATAATTATGCCTTTAAATTAAGCATGTGTGTACATTGGAGAAGAAAATGCAAACAATCTAAATCTCAAGAGTTAACCATTTTTAAAACTTCTTTCAGGCTGCTTTTACAGTGGTTAGCAAAAGAAACATTTTGTGAAAGGCAAAATATTTGCTGAGTGTTTTAAAAATCAATATTAATGTATCTTTTTGTACAAGCAAAGGTCAAAATCTCAATTTAACTGTTAAGCAAAAAACATGTCTGCATACTAAAATACTTATTAAATATCAGTATTTGATAAAATCATTTTGTTAAAATTGTGACAGAAAGCAATAATAATTTATTTTCTTTTTATTAATAAATACAAAATTTTAAACAGAGTTAAGGTTATGTGTCAGCTTGACTGAGTGTGGTTTTGAGTGGCTGGGCAGCTGGTTGTAGTTACTCCTGTGATGAGACTAGCAATTAGCTCCATGGTGGAATCTGCTACGACCAGCTGAGTAACTGCTTTAGATTTGTGGTCTGCTTCCAGTCTATAAGGAGAAGCTTTGGACCTGGTCTGCAGCTTTATGGCACACTTGGACCCTGGATGTAGCCAAGTCTTGATGTAGCCTGTAATATTTTCTGCCGACATTGGGACTGTCTCTGGACTTGAATTAGTGCCCTGCCGTGTTGTTTGGTAATATTGGAATTGTGTTATTTTATTTGTCGCCCTTGGGCTTGTTAGCCTCGGCAGCTAGCAGCTGCCTGAGTGAAGAAGACACCTCTGGCTCCGGTGGGCCAGGAGCAAGAAGCAGAGCTGAAGCTCAAGGTCAAGGGGCTTCTACCCAGCCCCTAGAGTTTGGCACTTTGAACTCGGACTTCTAGCCTCCATAACTGTCAGGGAATAAGCTCCTGTTTGTTAAAGTCACACATTTGTGGTATTTTCTGTTAGAGCAGCACAGAGTAACCAAAACACTAACTTAAAATGGAAATTATATTTATTGAAAATCATTTAAGCCCCAAATCAAACCCACTGCCATCAAGTAGATTCCGACTCATAGAGTTTCCAAGGCTGTAAATCTTTAGGAAGCACATTGCCTCATCTTTCTTCCACTTATTGGCTGGTGGGTTCCAACCACCAACCTTTTGATTAGCAGCAAATTCCTTAGCCACTGTACCACCAGAGCTCGTTTGAAAATCATATAGTACCATCAAATCACTATTATAACTCAAATTTCAATACTATCACAACTCAATTCTCTTGAATTTTGTATAGAGGGTTTTTTTTTTTTTAATGATTTGCAACATTTAGTAAATATAGCTGTTTATTGATAGGATAATGTGTGTATTAGGGGGGGAACATTCCCAGCAAGTGGATTCTGACTCATAGTGACCCTGTAGGACAAAGTAGAAATACCCCATAGGGTTTCTGAGGTGGTGATGTTTACAGGAGCAGATTGCCACGTCTTTCTCATGCAAAGCAGCTGGTGGGTTTGAACTGCCAACCTTTCAGTTAGCCTAGCGCTGTAACCACGGTGCACCAGAACTCCTTAATGTAATTATAGAAAATTATAATTAACATGTTCAAAAGTTTTTACCTTTGGTATGTTTGTAGCAGGAGCTCTGGTAGCATAGTGCCTGAGGCATTTGACTGCTAACCAGAAGGCTGGCGGTTCAAACCCACCAGCCACTCCTTGGAAGGAGGATGGGGCAATCTACTTCCCTAGTGATACTGCCTTGGAAACCCAAGGAGGGGTCACTATGAGTCGGCTCCAACTCGACAGCACATCACAACAAGAACAACATGTTTATAGCGCTTGATTAAATTGATTAAACTCATCAAATAACAGTTCTCTTATTCTACACATTCTCTACTAAAAGCTTACTTAATGCATTTATTTCTGTGTTTTGATATCATGATTATTTCCTTGCCTTATTAATTAATACTTCATGACTTTTGGGAGTGAAAAGCTAATTGTTATATACTCAGAAAGTAGTTCAAGGACGATCATGAAATGGGATTTTATGTTTGAAAAAATGGAATACTGTAAAGTGAACTATGAAAGTTAAAATAGTACAGAAAACAATGAAATTGAAGTCATTTAATTTTTTAATCATTAAATATTTTTGAGCTCTTTTGATGTGCCAAGACACTTCTAGTTCACAATATAAATGTATCCTGGCCTCAAGAAATGTACAATCTTGTAAGAAAGAGATGATATAAAGTCAACTAACCAATATAAGAATTGTGTAAGTTCTAATAATCACAAGTAATGTAATGCAAAAATAGAAGCAGGAACGATTAGAAGAAAATGAGAGGGGGCCCAGAATATGTCCGAAATGAGGTTATTTACTTGGCATGATTTGAGGAGTAACCCAGAAAGTTCTTCAACATACCCTGGCCAGTCAAGATGCAATTGCCCACCCTCCATTAAATCACCACTCCAGTGAAAACACCAGTGCCCCTGCTTAAATAGAAAATATAAGCATGCTAATTAGACAGACCATCTATTAACCTAATTTGATCAAATCAAAGTTTGGAAAGAAATCTCAAATTTTAGAAGGTACCCCGTCTTAGGGAGAGACAAGACCATGAAAAATAAGTTTTAATATCCTTAGCTATTACTATTTACAATAGCAAAAAGATGGAAACGATCTATGTGCCCATCAGTGGAAGAGTGAATGACCAAACTATGGTACATAACACACAGTGGAATGCTATGCAGCACTAAAGAATAATGTAGTGTCTGCAAAACACCACATAATATGGATGAACTTGGAGGACATTACGCTGAGTGAAATAAGTCAATCACAGAAGGACAAATATAGTATTAGTCCATTGTTGTGGAGAGTCAAGGAAAGGTTTATATACAGAGAGAAACTTTCTTTGTTGCTTGCCAGAGATGGGAAGGGAGGGAGGGAACACTGCAAAAAAAAAAAAAGTGCATTGACCCATCACTTTAATTTTATGTATTTCACTGTACATTAATTATATTTCAATAAAATGCATTAAAAAAATCCTTAGCTATTGAGACTAGTACTCACAGCACTACAACATGGCTGACTTTTTAAAAATGGGAATGTGTTCTACATTATGGCATGATGGCAGATCCAGTTGTCAAGTGGCTTGGATGGTCTTGGACTCAGATGACACACCTAAGTCTCCTGGGAATATGAAATCAGTCAACTAATTAGTGGCAGTATTTGTTTGGAACAGAAATAAAGTTTGCAGGCTCCTTGTGCACTCCTGGATCTGCTTGATAAACTCTGGGAAACTCTCTTTGGGTTAACACTTCTGCACAGAAAAGAAAAACAAAGTTACAAATGTAACTCAAGCTCCAAGCTGGAATCCAGATCTAGCTGGGGCACCTCCCTTGCAAAGAGCCCAGGGGACAATGGTACCTCAAGGCAGTTCTCCGCAAATAATCACTGTTGCCACTACCTCATCCAGTGTCCATCCCATCTGAGCTCTGCGGGGGTCTTCAGTGGGTAAGATATTAGAGAAGCCGCAGGAAGATTTCTACCAGCCTGATTTCTTAAGGCCTCCTGGTTTTAAAACACATAGTGCCTAAGGCACTTGACTGCTAACCAGAAGGCTGGCGGTTCAAACCCACCAGCCACTCCTCGGAAGGAAGGTTGGGCAATCCTACTTCCGTAGT